GTGATAAAGCTTCCTTTTCCTTGGGACCTACACAGGGAGATGCTGTGACTGAGGACACCTGGTGGCCATGTTCACAGTGAGGTCACTCACACCTAAACTTGAAACCTCACCCAGGAAAAGGCCACGGGTGCAGGCTAAAGGCACCTTGGAGCCATGACTGTTGTGGCAGAGYCTCCTTGTTACCCTCACAGGGAGATGCCTTGGCTGGGGACACGTAGGGACCATGTGTACCAGGAGATTTCTTCCCCCTTGGCCTCTACACATGGATGCCACTGTGGTTTTGGAATAACTGAAGTCTACTGAGGAAAAGGTGGGGAAGACTGAGGAAAAGCCTCTTGCCCACTCTCCCCTGTGCTGAGGAAGAAGCTCTGCTGTGTTCTACTTTTGTAGGTCATATTTTAGTGGGACTAAATTTTATGAAAGTATCCCTTGTGAGGCTTTGGCTAACTCATTGTCATAGTATCCTAAAGTACATGTTATGGGAGAAATCCCAGGACACTGAAAGGAGAAACAGAGACATGAACTCAGGGTAGTGCAGGGGAGGCCTGGGGTTCCCAGCACGTGGCACCTCACTAGTGTCTGAGAGGAAGGGCTAATATTGCCTCATTGTTTATATTTATTTTTATATAACTTTTTTTAGTGTTACAGTACTTGAAAAATGTTGAGAAGTTGATGAATCAGTGTGATAATAATATTATGGCTGTACTGAAGAGATATTCCTACCATGTGACTATGAGCTGTGTAGACAATACCAGGGCTTTCTGGATAAGTCTGCACACAGTTGAGTGGCCCGCCTGAAATTCCCAGAAGCCACTGTGGTGATAACTGAGCCAGACTACACTGCCCAGAATCCCTGGGATGCCTGGGCAAACATTGCTACAGCTCCCACAGTCCTTTGTGGAGAGGGCTGATCAGGCAATCACTGAGATATGCTACCCAGATTCCTGGGGATACCAGGGCCAGCACATGGCCCAAAGCTTCCAAAGGTCTCCATGGTGGGGGCTGAACAGCAGAATACCAGACTGCAGTGGCACAATCCTCAGGGTTCTCTTGGTATCTCTTGGTACCTGACAGGCAGCTCCCAGCCTTTGGGGTGAAAGATGCATTGGCAGAACAATTGACTACACTACATGAACAATGGGTGCCGGCAGCTCCAAGAGGTCTCTGCAATGAGGACTGGATTTCACTGCCTAGAGTTCCTGAGCTTGTCCATGTGAATGTGCATCATGGAGCTCACATGGCCCTCCACAATGAGGGCTGTACAGGTAGAATACTGCACTGGAGATGCCTGAGGGAAATATGTACCTCTGATAGTCCTCCGTGGTGAGAGCTGCATGGGTAGGTCATTGGACCATAGTACTGAGTCTTCAGGGTGCCTGAGCAAGCATTCAGCCTGCAGCTTACATAGACATCTGACAGAGGTATATGTGGGAAAACACTGGACTACATTACTCACAATTCTCAGGGGGGCAGCAGAAGCTTACAGGAGYGCTCCCCATTGTGAGCTAGAAAAACATGGGACTACACTACCCACAATCCTAAGGGGAAAGAAGCTCTCAGGATCCCCCACAAAGAACCAGCAAAACACTGGACTTCACTACCCACAATGTTTGGGTGGGGGTAGGAATGGGAGGTTCATAGGAATTCCTTCACCATGAGCTGTAACGTGGGACTACATTACCCACAATCCTGGGGGACAGAAATCACAGGATTCTCCTGCCTCCTGTGAGCTGGCAAAACATGCGACTAAATTATTCACAATCCTGAGGTAGCAAGTCTCCCAGATTCCCCTACAGGAGCCAGCAAAATACCGGCACTACAGTGCCTTCAGCCCTCAGGGGCAGAAGTTCTCAAGAGCCCCCTTTCTCCCCCCATCCACACCCTACGAGCAGGCAAAATGCTTAACTACATTATCTATAATCCAAGGAGGGGGAGGTAGAAGTGCACAGAATCAACCCCTCTGAGCCAGAAAATACGGGGGCTTCATTACCATCCTAATGGGGCAGAAGTTCCCTGGGTTCTGCAGAGAGAACCAACAAAATACTGGACTACATTACCCACAATCTATGGGGGGGTCACCTCATGGGATCATTGCCCCCAATAAACTGACAAAATGCTGGACTACATTACCCACAGTCCTCAAGGTCAGAAACTTTTAGGAGAATTATTTCCACCTCTTTCCGTGAGTAGGAAAAAGTCTGGACTAAATGACCTACAATCCTAAGGAAGATGAAGCCCCAGGATCCCTCATGAAGAGCTAGCAAAATGCTGAGCTACATTACAACAAGAATAGAGTTAGGGTTTGGGTTTTTTTGACTCTCCTTGGGGGATCCTGGGTGCTTCCTCACCCTAAGAATTATGGGTGATGTAGTCCTTGATCTTACCCACACACTTCTGCCAGGAGACCCCTGAAAGCTGAATGCACATGCTTGCCCTTATACCCTGAGGATTCTGAGTAGTTTTAGGGGTAGGATTAGGGCTAGGCAAAAATTAGCCACAGGGCAAAGGTTAGTGAGATTTACAAAACCAAGAGGTACTCTTGAATTTCTGCCACTAAAGACCATAGGTAGTATAGTCCTAGGTTTAACCACTGATACTGGAATTCCTGGGAAATTCCTCCCCTTAGGATTATGAATAATGTAGTCCCAGTATCTCCTGCTCTTTGCTTGGTACTGTGGGAGTGTTACCGCTGTTGACCGGTGACGAGTCCTTGCTTCCCCGATGTTGAAGAATAACACCAAAGAAGCACGCCGAGGCAAGGTCAGAGTAGAGATTAGAAATTTATTAAAGGACAGAAGAAAAGACTTCTCCCGGAGGAAGAAGGGGACCCAGAAGGTGGAATCCGTGGAAGTGCAGTTGTCTCCCCTTTCTATAGTTCTTTCAGTGATGGAATGTAGGT